ATTTCAAATTTAGAGGTACACTCACACCCTCCCCTCAAGTATAACCCGTTCGTTATCGCTAAACGCTTCCCATTTTCAGAAAAATTAAAAAAAATCGTCAACAAAGGTAAACAAAGCCATAAAAATAAAGAAAGAAGAGTGGGGGGGATTACTGGTCGATCAATTTTTGAAAATTTGCTTTCCTTTTAAGATTACGACCGGACCAGCGCTACATGGAGAACGGCAAGTGGAACGAGGCGAACGCGGAGAAGGTCCGGCTCGAGGAGAAGCAGAGGGCGACGCGGCGACAGCGCGAGACGGAGGCGGAACGCGCGGCCGCCGAGGGTCGACCGTACATGCCCTATCAGCCGATCTGGTTCGAGCAGGTGAAGGAGGACGACTCGGACACGATCTCGCACGTGTACAAGGGCGGATACTGGGAGGCGAAGGAGAAGGGGGACTGGTCGCAATGCCCGGACATATTTTAATGTTATTGCCGATAGTTTATTTTGTAAACGGCGTTGCTGAAGTCGGGTGCCCCGAAAGATCTGTCGACGATGGCAAAATGAAATGCTAGACATAACTTTATAGTCAATAATAATAATCTATCCTAAGTACTACTGATTTTAATGAAGGAGCTTCTGATAATTTTTCTAAAAATTGTTTGTTATGTAAATATCTGATTTTATCGCAATGTAAAAAATTGTTACTTATTTGTAAGGTCTATTATGTTGGTATCTTTTAGTTCTCTTAGTGGAAAATCTTTCGAGCATTACATGGTGTCATGGGGAGAAGGAATTTCTTTAACTCTTGTGATTTGTTGGGAAAGGACCATCGATATATGCAACCTACACGAATTTGTACGCTATCTACCGAAAACAAAAATGCGTTTTGGTATCATACGACTTTGATAGAGCGATTGTTGTTAAAATGTAATTTGCAATTTTTGACTATCTATAATTTGTGTATGTAAATACAATTATCTGTGCAACAAAGGCTTTCAACATGTAATATTGAATAAAGTTTATAACACTTATCACATTTTACCTAATCCTCTTTTAGTCAATTAAATTAATTAATTAAATT